TCGTTACGAGTTCCTCAGCATAATTAACCCTTTCGTTACGAGCATGCTAATCGTAAATCGATCGTCGTAGATGAATGTATCATTTTGATACGGCACTGCTTTCATCATAGTTTCAACCATCTGCGACTTGTTAGTATAAACTTTCAAGCATCTCGTCCAGATTTTAATGAGCATGTTATTAACGGTGCATGTTATTAAGAATTTTCTTGTAGGTGCACTCGTGGTATCAGAGAGAAATAGTCGTTAGTTTTCTGTTAATCGACACTCAAAAAGAACTCTCAGTAGGTGTATTTAGTAGTATTACAGTAGATAAATTTCATCTTCATCATAAATTAGTTGGCGAAGTTTAATTACTTCAGGCCACTTAATATCGTTATTCGCACCTTTCGCTTATAAACCTTACGTACACCGATCTCTACTTTGGTTTACTTTTGCAAGTTATATTAGTTAATTGTATTACATAGAGTTCTGCAACAATTGTTGGTAGTGGAATATATTATGCGAAATTTCTTTATTCACAGCAGTGTAAATAATTTTCCATAATTATTAAAATACTTTGCGGTAACTTTAAACAGCTTTTTAATTTTATAAAAGTACGGGAAAGTGGTGAATAAGAAGCTAAGAGTACTTGAGTTTCTTTTTACCATAAGAGCAGCAAGGTGTTAGATGAGGGTTGAAATCTTATTACGATTAACCCTTCGCAAGGTTAGTGCTATAGGAACGAGCGCGTTTTAATATTAAATGCAGATTTCAATTTTCAAGCTGGTCCGTTATTAAAAATCACTTAACCGTTCCACCATAGAAGATCTTTAATCGCCCCTTTGAATTTTAAAACAAAATAGCATATGAAATTTTAATGAATTAACAAAATGCAAAAAGGTTATTAAAGAACTTTTTTCATCTTTCAACATTTTTTTTAATTATCATTAATAAATTACTATTCTCTTAAAAATCACTATTGACCTGGAAAAAATACTGTTTATAATAGGAATAATTTGCATTTCTTTAATTTCAATCAAATTACATAATTCAAAATTATCCAACGATCTAATAATTCTCTGCTGAAACTTCCGACGTGAAACTTAAAGTGCAAAATAGAATTTCTCGTAAAACAAGAATATTATTTATAATAAAACTGACGAGGTATCTTTCGAATGTCAAATTTTCGCCAACCTTTTGCTCCTTCATTCCTCTGGTTTATTGAAGCATTCAGTCAAAATTGTTCAGACGGAAATGTATCAGACATTTTATTGTTTCTAAAAATGTTTCACACCTCGATAATTTTTAATTCCTGATAACTCCATATACATATTTATGATTGACGTATATTATAAAAACACAGGGTGAATTTATCTGGGAAAATTTTTTATTTAATTTTCAATTAATTGTTTGATCAGAAAATTGAGAATATCAACTGGGATATCGCAAGTGCAGGAATCAGAGAGTATGCATCGACAGTCGACAATAATGCCGCATTGTTGATCGATGATTCCATGAAGCCAGTTGTGTGTAGCACGAGATATTCGTGAGGCATCTCGCATTAGGTACATACACGGCACCATATGACGCTTCTACTCGCATTACAAGCATACATCATGAAGGTATCAGCACGTAAACATCGTCTTTTCGTGTATAGTAGTCTTTAACTCCTTTGACTAAAGCTAATCTATCCGTTACCTAACGCGGTACATAATAATTAATCGTACGTACGTCAGGGTAAAATAACTAAAATAACTTAAAATAAGATAAGGATGAAGTAGCTATACTTAATATTTGATATTAATAGAATATTACTTATTAACAAGCTCCGGTAGTCTATAATGCTTATCAGGAACACAGTTTTAATGAAATGAGGAAAGTTTAATGAGTACAGCACAACCCCAATTTCTTTTTATAATTAAGCATCACGAATATTTCTAATTTCACGATCTTAATATTTCTTCGTAATTTTATGACATTTGATATAATTCCAAATTCAATGCGGCATTAAACGTGTAATTAAAGATCATCGAAGCAAGTAAATATTCTACTATTTCTGAACAGGAGATTAAAATTCAAGATGAACATTTATAAAATTATATTAAAACTTCGCTTATAAGATGGTAGGATGTGCAACTTCGACAATGGTTTTTAGTCGAACTCGATAACCCATTTAGTTGCCGAGATATCGGACTTTAAAGTGAGCTACTTAAGGGCGCAGGAATCAATGAATGAATGCTGGGATTCCAGGAAATGTTCTGACCTAGATTTTTTCCCTGGAAATGCGTATGTAGCGATAGTAATAGTAAAAAATATGATGACTTACCGTCTGTCACTGTCTGCACGTCGTGAAAGGGTTTTAGAAGGTAGGTCAGTGGTGCTAGAAAGAGAAATACGATTATGCGAGTGAGAAAGGAATACTCCACCCCTCGAAATTATGATACTGATTTTAAAGAAATTCCCGATAACGGAATGTCTTATTTTAAAGAAGAAGATTTTCTATTTTTAATAATGACAACAGTTTTGTAATGCAATCATTTTCTTTGCATTATGGATGGTTATTTGACAAACTCAGAATGATTCAGAATACCATTTTTTCATTTTTCAATTTAATCATTCCATTTCATATTTTGCATAAATCCTTTAATTATGTATTTAGCTATCTTGAATTTTTCTAAATGTTGCGTTTCTCCATTTTTTAATTTAAGCTTTTCATTTAATATTTTGCATAAATACTTCAATTATGTATTTAGTTATCTTGAATTTGTCTAAACGTTACATTTCAGCCTTTTTTTTTTGAAGTCCCTTTTCAAACCATTCATTACAATTTTATTGGAACCACCATTAATTAAGGTGCAAGACACAAGTAAATGTCTTTATATATTTTTTCAATTGTACGATAGGATCTTTTGCTCCACCATTTCTTGTACTTCCTAATGAATGATCATCAGTTTCTATCTGGTATCTAGTTTCTTTCTCCTCGTTTCCTGTCACGTTCCATAAAAAGCTGTGTTATTGTGCCGTGCGATCACGTGTGAAAAGATGAAACGTCTACGCCACAATAGACACGAGCCCTACTGGTGAAATATAGCCGCGTGTGCTCCTAAAGGCGCTTTGCACCATTCCGACAAAGATGAAAAGAAATTGCATTTCCTGCCTCAGGGAAAAAGTGTACGATCTGATCTGTGTAAAATTTCATAATGACGGTAATAGACATCATATAATGGTATGAAATATTAGAAAGTTTGCGCAAATAATCTAAATTCTCAATTTCCATTTAAACAAATCTGCTAATGCGATAATTGGAAATTCATCACTTTCAAATTTATCAAACATAGAAATCCTAATAATTTATTAGATAGGATGAATCATAAGAGTATTTGGAGATTTCAGTGATTTAATAAACTAATAAATTCACATCAATTTGAAGAAGAATCTTAAATGCTTTAGAATTTAATATTCCCAGATTTCTGTAAAAGAGATAGATGACATCTTTTCGATTCCAACAGGTATTCCAAGATTTAAAAGCACTAAAACAGACTGAAATTCCTGGGATTCTCGACGGTCTGTTACACCTTCTGAACCCCGCAGATCTTTGCCCTTACCATAGATCTTTTCAAAGTTTCCAAGTTCTGCAAAACTTGAGTGCTATCAAAATTGTCAATGTTCTACCCAGCAAGTTTATGGTCGTCCGTATTGTGTCTCTTGGGTGTTTCATCGACCATGAGAAGTGCAACACCTGGTTGTACGTGTTTCGAATACAATAGATTCTCATTTTAAATAGCGTAGAATCACCTTATTTGATCTCCAAAAGATCTCACGTTTTAACCCTTGAACAGTGGAGTCTGGATTAATCGTGACTCAAATATTAACTTAAAGTTAAATGTATAAATTTTAAGCGAAAGGATTTCATTTATTGGAACAATAATTTTTAAAGGAACAGGGTACAAATTATTATAGAAAATGAAAATAATGTGAAATACAAAATTACATTAAAATTGTGGCTCTCTTCATGGTCCGTTATCGGAGAGTTAATCTAGCAAACACAGAATAGCAAATATTCAGAGAAATCTTAAAAATGTCACGCATGTACGTCAGTGCCAGAAGAATAAAATAAACCGTATTCAAGTTTCTCCCAGGTTTTGCTGTTCTTTAAAGCGCAAAGCTTTGAAGGAACTTACTTATTCCACGAAGTAGGTCTCCGAACGTAGTTCGAATCTTAATGTATAAGTTAAGATTCTTCGTCAGTTTCCAGCCGCAGAACCACTATTGGACATGAAAATGTTTAAACGAAGATTACCATTGCTTACCTTGTAAACATTGTTATTTGCACGAAACTTATTGTTCTACCTCTTTTCCAACTCTTCCTTGCAGAAGTGAATTTAATTTCAATCATCTTGCATTATGAATATTCCAAATATTTATTAATAAATAACGAGCTGCTCGGTTAGAAGATCAGAACACTTGGATCCTCCTACTAGGAACGAGATAGGTGATAGTGATAAACGTTTACGAGGGTGGTCCAGGGTTATTCACACCAATTTCAGGCGGCATTTTTCTGATAGGATGGTCTTCGTGAGAGGAATAGCGTCGTTGGCGGACAAGCTTTATCTTTGCATTGCTTTCCGTGCACGCCGGAAGCACACTCCTGTCTTTGAACGGATTTGAACGCCCGCAGAAATCTCTGCGTGTCGAGAATCACGGTAGGAATGGATCCCTTCTGTTAACTATATTTTATTCTTCTATAGCCTCAAGTTAAAGTTCTTCCGCTTACCAAGCAATGATGACGTGATTTTTATACATTGGTGGGGGAGGAGTTTAGGAGTCAGGAGGTTTTACGTGGTCTAATAAGGGTTATCATGAAATATCTGAGTATTTAGGCTATGCAATTCACCACCTTTATTTATATACTTCGTTGAGCTTTGTTAAAATTCCCTGAGAATTTTCTTAAATATTCTACAAGTCATTGAAACTCATTCTGAGATGTTTTATTAATAGAAATTCATTTTTGTCTGTTTTAGCAACATTCAAATTAGAAGAAACTGAATAAGAAGATAAATAATGCGTTGAGATATAGATGCTTCTTCAAGTTTATTTTAATTTCAATTGGTAAGTACAAACTGATCTACTGTACAGGATTCAGAAACTCGGATAATATGTATATAAATTTTCAAATCGTTATATCAACACCGAAGCATGCTTGTTTTGGAGGTCGTGATGATCCCAATAATCCGATTAAGGATTATCCAAATCGTAGATGTTCGTTCGCAGAAGCTCGTTTCAAGTCGTGTTAATTCGGCCTATCTGAGAAATCCGCCGTTGCTTCAGTCGAATTTCGGCGCAGCGCGAGTAAGCTGCGTTACTTACTCGCTCCGCGATCAGTGTGAACTTCTGTCTCTCATTAATCTCGGTTCGAAGGCAATTACGACATCTACGGCTTGGAACAAGATATTTATCGCGTCTTCCCTTCGATTTTGTATCGTTACCTTTATCTAGTGTGTGTGCGTACGTGGAAGGAAGAAAAGAGAAGAATCGACGAGATGGATAGGACGGCGTCCACCTGACTAGAACCATTTTACGCGAGGAAGCGTGTTTCCTAGCAGGAAACGAGCCACTGCTCTGTGACAAATGTTGATAACGAACAACCGGAGGTGTCGCCTTTCGAAGGATCAGTCTGATATCGAGGCAATTATCAAAGGTCTTCCTCGCCTTTTCGAACAAATGGCCCGCCCTGGAATCCCTGGCTCCCTTTCTTTTATGATAATAAGGTAAGATCGTTATCAATGATTTAAACATCGATAAATTATATCAAATCGTGGACTGGCTGTTGAAAATTTCATCAGATGATAATTTTTTACTTTTGCTAAATTTCATGCAGCTTTGCAATAGTTTGTTATTTTTATTATACGTAGAATGCTTTGTTGTAGCTGCTATTAGGATTTTAGTGGCTCGTCAAAGGGAAACGATACAGCCTTGATATAAACATGCAAAATATTTTCCTTCTCGAGTTTGCACGATCGCGCACCGCGTGAGAAGATACCAAAATCTCGTCGCTGTTTCACTATTTTTGCAAAACACAAGCGATCCAGAGGGAAATTAATGTTGCTCGAGTAGAAGGGCATTTCCCGTGACATCGACAACACGTGAATAAAAGATTACAAATATCGGCTCGATTTACCCTCTGACGACGTTAATATTCCTTCCAGAGGATGGTTACATTTTATATAGAAAGTTTCCGTCGGTATTATTTATTTATTCTTGAATAATTTTATTTATTAGCGTATAGTTTATTTCAATAGAGTTATTGTCCTTAGAAATTCATTTAATCAAATTTTTCTCCTCTGCTCCACTTTCCCACGGATGGAATTAGAAGTTTCTCTATTTTATCTGCATTAAAATTATCAGTAAAAATATACTAACTGCAGAGAAACTCTCTTTAGAAAACGCAACTGCATTCGTATATGAACTTTTACCGCGCATGTTTAACGGTTCTCTAGAGGAATCTGTAAACCAAACTCCAGGTATAATAATTCATATCTAAAAAGAACTTATATCTAACTCCATATCCAATCACATTTACATATTTTAACACCTTACGAACTATCATCGCGTTATCTTTTATGCAAGAAACTCCGTTTAATCGAACATATAATATGTTCGTTATCCGCAAGAGTTAGAAGGTCGATAGTTAAGCTAAAATATTTATCACCGGGTAGTTGTAGGATTTCCAGGTCATCGTGATTCGAGTTCCGATTCGAACTCGAACACATTGTTTCCGGGCGAATGTTAAAACGTCAATTTGTTACTGTACCATTTTTTTTTTTATGCTTTTGATTCTACAACTTTTTGAAATGTACATATTTTGTATAGGAACAGGGCTACTCGATACTTGTGTATTAGAATCACAGACTTTTGGGTAGATTTTAGTCAATTTATTTGAATCACAACTTAGATAAAATTATTTTCAAATTAGTTATTTAGAAATACTTTTTTCCTGGGGAAGTCTGATTTGTCGGTGAGTCTGCAATATTCATGTTAGATTCTGCGGGATAAATTGTAGTGTTTCTCCGGAACATGAAAATATGATGAAGAAAGAGAGCATATGGAGTGTAAGAATAAGGAGGGTAACTTTGCACCAAGGGCACTATGAATAAGAACTATCTTTCCTGCTAAGATGACACTCGGAGAAGAATATCTTTTGTTGTTTTCCCCGCGTACTCTCCACAATTTTCTTTGCATTTCCGGCCAGACGACCGTATTGTGTGGCGAGTTTACCGAAACATTTCTCTCGCTATACTTTTATAAGAAGCTTACGGTTATGTTTTATGCTTAAGAGGCGCACTATCATTTCTTTTGTCCGTGTTTGAGGTTTATATTACGGTTTCCTAAAGAGGAAAATTACACGATATTAATGGTTCATTTTAATGCTTGCTAAAGTTCGGGATATTCGTGTACGGTGCGGTGTGTGCCACGTTTCTCACGGTTTCCTTGAATCGTAATCAACGGTAATGAAGAACGATCCGAAAAAAAAAAATAGATAGAAACGTTGCTGGATTGCGAGGATGAACGATAGGGAAATCCAGGATTTCCCGAGAGACGGTGAACCGCGGAAAAGCGGACGAATATTGCGGAATATTTGTCATCGTGTCTTCTCCCTTGAAACAGTTTTCACTGAAAAATCATCAGTGTCAAACGTATTCGATGTCTACGTGAATCATTTGAAACAATAAAAACACCGATTTCTATGACAGGAATTTATTATTAAAATAAAACAAAACCAGTAATAATTTTATAAATTATTTTTATAAGAAAAAATGAGAAAAATTTGTTGCAAAAGGTACTATGGGTTAAATAAACTAGATATCCTATTGATTCTTCACAAGATTTAACAGATATATTTGTTTACACGTGTAATAATCAGAAAAACGTTTCAATGTTCAGTTATCCATATACATATATTTACATTTTGTGCACACCGCTACGCGTATGCCTCGATAAACAGAAAAATATTTATTCCGGTCACGTTGACGGGAAATTTACAAGCATTCGATTGATCCATTCTCCGTTGGTATCATAAAGGTAAACATTGTTTGGCTCGTGTTCATACAAAATGTTTACGTTCTTTTAAGCGCAACCATATCCACTATTCTTCTCGTGAAATAGCCAATATTTTGACCGGAACGATTGTTTTGTTACAACGTACAAAACATTTTAGTACAGAGTTTTATTATTCCTCTTCAATCAAATTTGTGACATTTTTTCTTAGTTAAAAATTTAGAAATATAACAAAATTTGTTATGCATTATTAGGATAACATTCAACAATGTAAGAGCTAGATACAGACTATTATTTAGTAGATCATTATTAGGTAGATCGTTATTTATTTCATTAGAGAATTATGCAATGAATTTAGCCGATAGTTTAGAAATTGTTTAGATGAAATGCGTTCTTTCGAAGACTAATTGGAAGCTCTTCGTTAGGGCATTTATCGAAGAATTTCCATTGGAATGCTTGTTGAGGTTCACCCTCCTGTTTTTTTAACTTTATTGCGAGCTACAAGATCAGCTTATAACGTTAAAATTACAAAAGCGCGTAACACATACTGATGAACAAATATGTACAATGTACATATGTAATTAATGTACAATGAAAATTATGTAAATATTTTAATAATACTCTTTCTATAGAATGGCTAGTATTTCATTAAAGCAAACAACGGATTATCATGAATATACGTGTATTGTAATAATACTTTACAAATTTCAATTAGAGTATATCACAATGAAGGCTATCCGTAATTTAATACAATATTTGCAGAAAGAACAGGTATTGTGTGCACAATACAGCGTTAATTTGGGAAATTTTAATCTGAAAACATGAATCTCAGATGAACAGAATATTTTACTTAATAAATATGTATTATGAATGTATAATTTTGATTAATTTCTTACTGACTATGTTCAGTAATTACAGTACTCATATTTCAACCTTTGATGTTTTAATGTATAAAAATTTGTAAAATTCCACGTTATTACCCTACTATAAAAATACGTTTTCTTAGAATTTGATCTTCAATCTTCCTGCTCGTGTTTTCGCAAAATTATGCTTTCGTTTCGCGGGAAAATTTGACTTTCGATCCATTTACTGATATCCCAACACACGTACATTTCTCAGAAATGCCATCCGAAGAAGCAGAGGAGCCGCGTTACGACACATATCATCGAACGTATCAAAATATTTCGCGAATACAGGAGTGTGTTTGAATTCAAACCGATGGCTTGTGACGTTCCTTCGTGCACGATGAATCGCGAAATGAAGACCCAAATTGAACGTTCGCGTCGGAAAGTTTACGTCGAAAAGTAAGTCACTCGGTGCTTGTCACTTAAAGACTGTGCGTTATCGAGACTTCGACGAAACTCGAGTTTTCCGATGCAACTCGAGAAGTAGTACCTACCTTGCAGCAACGCAAACCCGTGAACTTTCCTCGGGAAATTAACGAAATCTTCAAAGTTACGTGCTTCGATCGACAAGTTGATGGAAGTTGATTAAAATGTCTAAGTGAAAGATGTGTCACTTTATGGTAGCTGAAAGCGTTTTACTTTTCTCGAGGAATATTGCTCCTTTGAGAGGTCAGGTATTCTTATTTTTAATAGCGAAGTTAATAATTACAAAGAGCGTTGATTAAATAAATTAATTACAATGCACTCGATGTAGTTTATCGTTCGTTTTCATTGAAAGTAATGATCTTAATTCGCAATAAACATGTTAACTCATCTCTCCAATTTGCTTTTCACCTCACCACTTCCTGGTGCTAATGATACTAATTCACAATAAGTATATTAACACATCTCTCGTATTTACCTTTCACCCCACACCTGGAGAAGTTCAAAGGACGGTGCAGCGACGCATCCCTACCAATTAGATTGTATTTCTCAGATGTACTAGTTTCAGCTTCCTTCAGCAATTCATGACACACTATGTACATCTCCTCTGTCCCTTCATACGCACAAAGTATAATTTCCTTTTGGTATAGTTCAGATTTTGAAACTGTTGCAACTCGATATTAGCCGCGTGCAAAAGTTCTGTTCGCATTTTACCATGCAAATTTCGAGGAAAGATTATAACGAACCAATTCTTTCGCGATGATCCTCGTGATAATCAAGGTGTTAATACATCTCCTTAATTGACCTCTCATCTTATTTTGCCTCTGAACCTCAGAAAGTTCAAACAAGACCAAGGGATCCCTAAAAACTTAAACTTTACATCGCTCCAGGTCGAAGTATAAAACATGCAAACATTCTGAATGACGATCTCAATTTATAATTAATTCGAAATACAAGAAGTACATTAACGCATCAAGTAGTTCAATTAATCTTTCATCTTATCGATTACTAAATCATGAAAAGTTCAAAGGAAATCACTTAATAGTGCATCTTTATCAGTTTATATACTTTATGTTACCTTATGTGAGATTTATTATAGAAACTTCGTTCTTCGGTATAAAACTTGCAAAAGTTTGATATATTGATCCTAGTAAACACAATAGGTATCTTAATGTACCTGTCTAACCAAGCTTTCATCTTACATATTTCTAAACTTTGAAAAGTTCAAATAAGACGATCCAACACCCATAGCAATTATGCTTGATTTATGGTGGAAACTTACTCTCGTAGAAATTCTCTCATTGAAACAGGACCACTCAACAGTGTACCCCTAGCAGCTTACAAATTAAATTATCTTTTAAATAACAATCCCAGTTGATAAATTC